GAGCTGTGAGAAAATAAACTTTTGCTCTTTAAAGCCACCCACTTGTGGTACTTCTGCAATGGCAGCACGAGGTAACTAAGACAGGGCTAATAATACCAAACCTCTCAGGATTGTTTTGAAAATTCAGTGAAGAAATTTGTGGAGAGCACTTAGCACAGGGCCTGGCACAAAGTATTAGCTCAATTAAGTGGTAGCTTCTATTTCAATTATACATGCTCACAGCAAAAAAAAGGAAAGTTCAGAAGAGCAAAAGGGAGAAAGTCAGCATCACTCCCCATCAGCCCTCTCAGAGATGACCTGTCCCTGGCACAATGTTGCTGTATTTCATCAAAGACATTGAGCCAGAGGTGCCAGAGGAGACCCGTTGGGCCAGGGTTTCTCAGCCTCAGCACTACTGACATTCTGGGCTGGATCATTCTTTATTGTAGGGGCCATCCTGTGCATTGTAGGCTGTTTAGTAGCATCCCTGGCCTCTACCCACTAGATGCCAGCAGCAACTCTCCCAAGTTGTGACAAGCAAAAATGTCTCCAGACATTGCCAAGTGTCTTCCGAGGGCACAATAGTCCTGGTTGAGAAATGCTGCTCTAAATGAGTTCCTCGTCAGTGAGGGGATGTAAACTGAGGCTGGGAGACCACAGGGTGGGGAATACTATGGAGGATATCAGGATTCCATGAGGAGGTACTTCTAAAGATCTCATTCTGCCGAAGAACCCATTACCCACAATTCTGACTCATGGTGACTTCATGTTTTACAGAGTAGAACTGGTCCATAGGGTTTTCTTGGCTGTAATCTTTACAGAAGCTGATTGCCAGGCCTGTCTTCCGCAGAGCTGCTGGGCAGATTCGAACCACCAACTTTCAGGTTAGTAGTGGGAGTGCAAACCATTTGCACTACCAGTTACTTCCTGCTGAAGAAGCAATGCTTATTTCTCCCACTGGCTGATAACTCAAACCCAGGGTCTCTGCCCTCTTCACTGCTTCAGATTATGTTGTTTTTAGTATTGCTAATTACAGCTACAAAGAACTGATACCACACATTTCTTAGAAGCATAGACTCAGCCATTTGGAAAAGACAACTATGAATTTTGTACCAGGCAGTGTTCTAAGATCAAGGCACGTATTAACCTCATCTAATCATGACAGAGTCCTTGGATGGTGCAAATGGTTAAAGTGCTGGACTACTGACTGAAGGGTTGGAAGTTCGAGTCTCCCCAGAGATGCCTAGGAAGAAAGGCCTGGCAATCTACTGCAGAAAAATCAGCCATTGAAAAACCCTATGGAGCACAGTTCTACTCTGACACACACGGGGGCGCCATGAGTCGGAACCAACTCAACAGCAACTGGTTTGGTTTTGATTTTAATAACTGTAGTAGTCAACCTTTAATGAGAGCTCGCTCAGTCTTGTTCTAAATAGCTTCCTTTCATTGTCTCGTGTGATCGTCGCAACTCTATGTTATTCCATTTTATGAGGAGGAAGCTGAAGCTTACAGAGATTAAGGAATTTGCTCAGACAGAATCCAAACACAGGCTGTTTGTTCAAAAATATTCTTAAGCATTAGTTCCCTACCATGAACCGCCTCTTGTGCTGTTGTTTGTTGGGTGCTGTTGAGCTGATTCTGACTCATAGCAACCCCATGTGACAGAATAGAACTGCCCCATAGGGTTTCCTAGGCTGAAATCTTTACAGGAACAGATCGCCAGGTGTTTCTCCCGAGGAGCCACTCGGTGGGCTTAAACCACCAATATTTCAGTTAGCAAGTGAGTGTGTAACCGTTGCACCACCAGGGCTTCTTCCTTCTATGCTTGATGCTGGGAAATAAAGAAGTGAGTAAGAAATGGTCCACTGAACTCAGGGACTCACAGTCTAGTGGGGGAAATGGATAATTAGGAGACCTTGGCTTGTGTGTCATATTTAAGATACTATGGGGTTATGTATAAAGATGCATGGTGTGATCCCCAGTCTTAAGCTGGTAGCCCCGTTTAATATGCACAGTGTTTTAATCTGAATTCATTCTTGTTATAGATTGAGTTGTGCCCCCTCAAAATATGTATTTAAGTCCCGTGGAGATGATCCTGTTTGGAAATAGGGTTTTCTTTGTTATGTTAATTAGGTCATACCCAAGTAGGGTTGATCCTAACCTAATCACTTCTGAGCTATAAAAAGAGCAGAACAGACATAGAGACACACAGAGAGGAAACACAGATCCCAAAGAACACCAGGGAACTCCAAGCAACTCCCCCTAGAACTGCACCCTGAATTTGGATTTCTAGCCTCCTAAACTGTGAGACAATAAATTTCTGTTCTTTGAAGCCCCCTACTTGTGGTATTTCTGTTATGGTAGCAGTAGGTAACTAAGACAACTTTTGGTATATAAAAGGAGATTTCACATGAAAAAATCTGGATTCTGTGACTTGCAAAAGGATAGCAAGAATGGTTACACAGCTTGTAGAATGTAATCAATGTCACCAAAGTATACATTTAGAAATTGTTGAGATGGCATATGTTTTGTTATATATATTTTTACCATCATCCATTTTTTTAAAAAATCTGCAGTTCTGGCTTCTCTTGAAAAATATCAGAGAATCTGACGATGTGTGGTCATCTTTGCCACATGGCAACAGTTGGCAAGAGCTTAGAGCAGCTGCCTCATTTGGACAGAACACATGCCCTCCATTTCTCCACAGTCCCACCATTCCCTATTGTGCTACACTCAGCATCTGACACACGTGGGGTTGCCACGAGTAGGAATCAACTCAAACGCAGCTGGTTTTTTTACCCATCACTTAAGTATCTTATTTTGAGACCCCATAGGTATTTGAGTTTGAGACCCCGTAGATATTTGAGTTTGAGGTCCCTGTAGGTATATGGAGGAGCCCTGGTAATGCAGTGATTAAAGCACTCATCCGCTAATGGAAAGGTCAGTGTCTGAAACCCACCAGCTGCTCCCAGGTAGAAAGATGTGGTAGTCTGCTTCTGTAAGATTTACAACCTTGAGAACCCTGTGGGACAGGTCTACTCTGTCCTGTATGGTTGCTATGAATTAGAAATCAACTGGACAGCAACTGGTTTGGTTTTGGTAGGTATTTGAGGCCTCTGTAGTTATTTGCGTTTGAGACCTTCTGTAGTATTTGAGTTTGAGACTCATAGTATTTGAGATTGAGACGCCTATAGAAAGCAAATAATGCATCTGTGATTATGAAGAATAGTTCTTCAATACACTTCATTTGGCTTCTCTGTCCTTTCCCTCTAGATATTTGTTATTGTCACATTATTCTCCTCATGCCCTACTCCCTGAGCATCCTTTGCAGTTCAGGAGGTTTTCCTAGGACAGAACATGACCAACCTCACGGCAGTATCTGTCTTCATCCTCCGAGGCTTCTCAGCCGTCCCTGAGTTACGGCTCCTTAGTGTGGCTGCCTTCTTTCTCATATATGTTGCTGCAGCGATAGGGAACATCTCCATCGTGGCTGCTGTGACACTGGACGTTCGCCTGCACATGCCCATGTACTTCTTCCTCAAACACCTCTCCCTGGTGGACATCTGCTCCATGTCCACCACTCTGCCTCGGGCCCTGATGGCTGCCATGGTGGGCTCTGAGGAGATTTCCCTCCCTGCCTGTGTATCTCAACTCTTCGCCTTTGTCTGCTTTGGATCCGTGGAGTGTTTTCTCATCACTTCCATGGCTTATGACCGCTGCCTGGCCATCTACAGGCCCCTGGTGTATGGGGAAGCCATGAGCCCCCAGACCTGCATCTCCCTGGTGCTGGTGGCCTGGGGCAGTGGGCTCCTCTTCTCCACCTTTCACACAGCCAACACCTTCTCCCTGCCCTTCTGTGGCCCCAGTGTGATTGACCACTTCTTCTGCGACATCCCTCCCCTCATGCACCTGGCCTGTGCCAGCACAGATGTCCATGAGGCTACTGGATTTGCAGCCAGTGGCTGCGTCATTGTGAGCTGCTTCGCCCTCACCATCCTCTCCTATGTCCGCATCTTGGCCACTGTGGTCCAGATCCGCTCAGCAGCTGGCCGCTGGAAGGCCTTCTCCACCTGCTCGTCCCACCTGGCCACGGTGCTCCTGTTTTATGGCACCGGCAGCTCTGCCTACATGTGTCCCACTGCCCGCTACTCCCCGCTGCAAGGGCGCCTGGCTGCAGTCTTCTACTCCATCCTCACGCCCAGCCTGAACCCCCTCATCTACAGCCTGAGGAACAAAGACATGAAAAGGGCCCTGCAGAAGCTCTACCTCCAGGTACCATCATAGGGCCTGGAACCTGGACATGGGAAACTGTTAAGGATTGAATTGTGTCCCCAAAAATATCTGTTGTAAATCCTAACTCTTATACTTGTGGAAAGGAGCCCTGGTGGCTCAATGGTTAAGCGCTTGGTTGCTAACTGAAAGGTTGGTGGTCTGAACCCACCAGCTGCTCCCCAGAAGAAAGATGGTAGCAGTCAGCGTCTTAAAGATTAAAACCTTGGAAACCCTATGGGCAGTTTTACTCTGTTCTATAGGTTCGCTATGAGTTGGAATCAACTCCACAGCAATAGGTTTGACTTTTGGTTTTGGTATGGATTGAATTGTTGTTGTTGTTAGTCGCTGTCAAGTCAGTTCTGACTCATGGCGACCTTATGCACAACAGAACAAAACATTGCCCGGTCCTGTGACATCTTCGGAAACCCTGGTGGCATAGTGGTTAAGTGCTACAGCTGCTAACCAAAAAGTCAGCAGTTTGAATCCACCAAGTGCTCCTTGGAAACTCTATGGGGCGGTTCTACTCTGTCCTATAGGGTTGCTATGAGTCGGAATTGACTTGACAACAACAGGTTTTCGTGCCATCTTCATGATCGTTGGTATGTTTGAGTCCGTCGTTACAGCTGTTGTGTCAATCCATCTCATGGAGGGTTTCCTTTGTTTTTGCTGATCTTCCATTTTATCAACCATGATGATGGGTTGAATTATGTTCCCCAAGAAGATATGTTGAATTCTAATCCCTAGTACCTATGAATGTGACCTTGTTTGGAAATAGGGTCTTTGAAGATGTTGTCAGTTAGTTAACATGAGTCATACTGGAGTAGAGTGGGTTCTGATCCAATTTGTTGTCTTTAGTCACATCCAGTGGTATCACTGGGGTTGGTATCACCCAGAGCAGTAACTCATGGCCTTACCTCCCATGGACCTCCTCCCGTACCAGACCATACAAAATCCTTAGTAATGTTTATTACCAATTTTAATCATAGAATAATATGTGATAAATATAGTTGTAAAATTACTTCAATGTAATTTTTCTTAGATTATATGAAAAAAACAATACAATTGTTTTGTAAAATCTTTCTACATTGAATTACAACATTATTAAAACCAAAAAAAATCAAATCTGTTGCCATCGAGTCATTTCCAACTCATAGTTACAGCATTATTAGTAACTGAGCGGAAGCCTTTTTTTATTTTTCTTCTTCTTTTCCTTTAACTACTACATCATTCTCAAAAAGTTATTGATTTAGGTTCCCAAACACTAATTACCACAATATTGTAGATAAAACACCAGAAAATTTGACAAAATCATCTACTATAAAAACACCAGCAGCAATGAAAACAGTAGCATGAACTTGTAGCACATGCAGGCGAAACTATGTGATTAAAACTGTAATTGGGTAATACTATGACAGCTCTGACCGAAGTGCATTAGAAGGTTCAAAAAGTAAATTAGCATAGAGTTTTAGCCTTG